AGCAGGGTCGGCGTCTGGCTTCGCCACTCGAGTCCTCATCAGCCCCTTGGATGTCATCAAGATCCGCTTTCAGGTACCTTCCCTGGGGCCGGGGCGGCGGGGGCCGGTTGCGGAGCGGAGCTGGTCGCGTCCTGGGGCGGCCGGGCCCCAGACCAAGCGGGGAGGACATGTCAGCCCTCCCCTGCCGTGTGTGCAGGTTGTGCACGGTAGCAGGGCTGTCTTGGCTCCACCGTTTCTGTTTGTGTAACTTGTGCGTTTGAATGGGATTTTGTGGTTTTCATACTTTGTTCTCTTCCTCTGTTTTTCGAATGACCTCCACTACATGACTGAATTTCACCATCATCCCTACAGATGACCCTTGTGTCGTGTGCGTGTTCTTACTCCTTAAGAGCCCGAGTAAACAATATCCCAGTCAGCCCCACCTGTGATCCTGTGGGAAGGTAGAATGCCATCTCTTAGCATCGGTCAGCTCACGGGGTTGTGAATTCCTGAATTGGACACTTGAACTTTGTTGAAATGTGATGTGGAATTGAAACTATTTTCCTCTGTTTTCCTTCAGCTTCAGATCGAGCGGCTCTCCTCCAGACACCCAGGGGCTAAGTACCACAGCATCCTACAAGCTGTACGGTGCATCTTCCAGGAGGAGGGGTTGGTAGCCTTCTGGAAGGGCCACGTTCCTGCTCAGTTCCTTTCGGTGGGCTACGGAGCTGTTCAGGTGAGGTGACCAGACATCATCCGGGCCCAGGGTACAAGCACAGGATTCTGCTTTGTGCCTCCTCAGGCTGGCTGCGTGAGCAGATGCAGGAAGGTCCAGGCTTACACTGTACTGATGCAAGTCCAGTCTGTACAATTCTTAAGTTCATATTCTGGAGCTTGCTGAAGAGCCTGCCTGGCCAGCCTGGAGCTCAGCTAGAGCAAACCAAGTCCTTTCTGTGTCGCCAGCTGTGCCTGACACTGGGCTTAGCTGTTTGTGTTCTGAGCACGTGTAGCTTTTTGCTTTGGTCACCCTAACAGCTCATTCATAAAAAAAAATAAATTAAGCCAGTAATGGTGTTTTACACAGTATTGTCATGATTAATTAGCAACTATTAACCATATACTTTACGAGCAGTGGTTGAAAGAGTAGTAGACAGCATATCTGCAGTAATAGCAAATACTTTTCAAGTCGCATAGAGCGCTCAAATGATTTTTTCGAAGTTCTAAATGCAGTATTTAGCAGAAGTGTCAAGAGATCAGGGTATCCCAAGCGCTCCTTGGGCTGCTCAGTGATTTTTACAAGGCATTCTTCAGGCGCGTGCTCCAACGGGTTGCAAGTTGGGAAGGACTTTTGAAGGACAGAGAGAAGGCAGTTGCTTGCAGGCAGTGGGTGGAGCTCTTTCGGTGAAATTGGAGAGGAGTGGGAGATCCACGTTTGTGATAAGGTTTCACTGCTTGACCTGTGTGTGTTTATTTCTCTTAGTTCATGGCGTTTGAAAGCTTGACAAAACTGGTGCACAACGTCACCTCGTACAGTGCCCGCGATTCCTTTGTGCACTTCGTCTGCGGAGGACTGGCCGCTTGCACGGCCACCGCTGCCGTTCAGCCTGTGGACACGCTGCGCACTCGCTTTGCTGCTCAGGGTGAGCCTAAGGTATGGCTTAGGAGTCAATATTTGAAATTATCATCCACAGCAATAGCAATATTTCATGTGTATGAATGCAAGTGGTTTGAAAAGTACGTAATGGTCTGTGGGTTAGCGTAAAGGAGCAGGTGCTGTTATTGGGCAGTGTTTGCACTGTTGCCAAGTTATCCTCTGTGCTGTTGACACAACTTTCTTAATTGTGTTTTGCTGCTTCTGGTTGTGTTTGTCTCCTGACAGGTGCTCCAGAAAGAAGAAACTGTCCTTAACAGGATAACTCAATTTTCCTTTCGGCTGTCAGCTATTTATAGAGTGCACTTCCCAGTCTGTTGAACATTGTGTTTTTCAAACTTTCCACTTGTGCAGTCATGTTTTAGATAATGAGGGGTGTGATACTTAAAACCGGTCACCTTTCACCTGCGTTTCCTGTTCTTATTTCTTTAAGAGTCGGTCTCTATGCTAGTTAGATCTGCAATAACTAGACTCATGGGTTTGTATCAGAGCTGTTTCTGGTTTTTGACTTAGCCTGTGGTAGAATCACAATATGCATTACATGAATTCTGTTGCAGGAGCAAGTAGAGCTGTTAAGAGAAAAATAACTATCTGTGATGCAAGTGGTCTCAGGCCACAGCTCTGAGCTCTGTGCCTCTTCTTTATTGTCTAGATCTATCGCAACCTTCGCCATGCAGTGGTGACCATGTACCAGACAGAAGGGCCTCGGACTTTCTATAGAGGTCTGACCCCCACAATCATTGCTATCTTTCCATATGCTGGTCTCCAGTTCTCCTTCTACAACATCCTGCAACAGTTTTCTGAATGGGTGGTTCCAGCTGAAGGAAAGAAAGGAGGTAGGCACTCGGGACAGCGATGCCTGCAGAAGAGGTGATGTAACTTTAAAGGGCCTTTTTTGGCCTTAGTTCCTGTGAAAAGTGATTTTTAACTTATGATCTTTAATCAGAGCTCCCTTCTAATCCTCTTTTTTTCCCCTCCCTGCTATCCTCTAACCTTTCTGCTTCTCAGGCAATGTTAAAAACCTTGTTTGTGGCAGCTGTGCCGGAATCATCAGCAAAACCCTTACTTACCCTTTTGACGTATTCAAAAAGCGACTGCAAGTGGGTGGCTTTGAGCAAGCCCGCGCAGCTTTTGGGCAGGTGAGAAATGTTGGAATTGAGTGATTTTTCACAAGTAAAGATTTGCATCAAGATAATCCAAGCCAGTCCATGCACCAGAATGAAGTGGCGATTCCCCAGGGGTACCTGTTGTGTTCATTTCTGGGTTGGGTTTCAGTACAACTGAAAGTTTTGGTTACTTATAATAATAGAGAAAGGCATCTCCAGGCTGCACATCTGGGTTGTATTTCTGTGGTATAGTTTGTGGATCTCAGTGTTCTTTTTCAGGTAAGTTGTCCTGAAGTTTTCTTGTTTAACCTTTTTGCCGTTTCTCTCCCAGGTACGGACGTATAGGGGCCTCTTGGACTGCATAAGGCAGATCATGCGAGAGGAGGGCCCGAGTGGATTCTTTAAGGGCCTTTCGCCCAGCTTGCTGAAGGCTGCGGTCTCTACTGGCCTTGTCTTCTTCTGGTATGAGCTGTTCTGCAGCCTGCTGTGTGCCCTGAAGAGCACCGAGAGCACTGCGAGGAAGGAAGGCTGAAAGGTGTACGTGGCTACCCGCTGCTCTCCTGGAGGAGAGGAAGGTGATGGCTTTGCTCTTGTCATGAGCGTGTTGGAAATGTCAGAGCTGCCCGAGCTCCACCGTCCTGTAGGAAATCACCTCCTGGGACCAAGCAGAAGGAGAAGACAACTGAAGTTCTGCTGAGGGCACTGAACTGCTTTGCTGGAAGCTGCCACTGAGCACTTTTTGTTCCTCTGGCTCCTCTAATATCAGCACAGTCAGTGGGGAGAGGAGGAAACCAAGCAGACAAGTGCCTGGCAGAGACTGCGCTCTGAAAAGGCACCCAATAAAGTGGGTGAATTCCTGTGCTTGCCTGGGATCACACAGAGGGATCCTGGCCTGGCCAGTGCTGCTGACCCGCCCCAGCCCCCCTTCCTGCCGCTGCATCCGCACACCTTTGTTCCCTTGCTCTGTGGGCTGCTACTTGCACCATATTATTCTCCCGGTGCTGCACAGGTAGCTCTGTCCTGCTGCTGTGAAGTCAGTTAAAACCTCTTTAGCGTGCACAGCCCCTCAGTTTTCCTTTTGTTTGCTGCCAGCTGCTGCTGCTTGATTCCCACTCACTGGCTGTGCATGCTCGGCCACCTTCAGCACAAAATCTTCTAGTGGGTCCTGCCAACCCAAACTTGCTCTTCCTTGAACTCTGGTGAGCTTGATTGTATCCTAAGTGCCCATTTCTCTTACTGCGTGTCTTGCCATACATCCAAGGTTTTGCATTGCCGCAGTCACGCTTTTTACAGGTAAACCTGCAGCTGAAAAGCCCCGCTGTAAGGGGATTCAACGCACAAACCCAGTTCTTACCTCAGGGTTCTTTGCTTCAGTGCAGTGACTAAACAAACGCAATAGAGAGGTTTAGAAATACTTAAGTTGGAATAATGAAGGAAACTGTGGAAACTAGTAAATGTCTTTTTGGGGTTTTTATACTATCTGTGAATGTTTCTAGTAAGTATTTCTGTAGTGGCCTCAACATTTCTGAGCCTCAGGCCTGCAGAGATGTCAACAGATGCAAATGTTTTGGCAGATTAGCTGAAGTGGTAAGACTGAATGTCAGATGGGAATTGGTTGGCTGACAAGAAAAGGATGATTGAATGAGAAGTGGAGAAGTGTTCTGGAGTTTCGAGGGTTTTATGAGTGGTTAAACAAACAAGCAAACGAACAAAACAACCAACTAATAACTCTGATTTACAGGGTTAAAAAGGACAATTACTTCCTTCCTCTTATCCTGTGTTTTCAGGCTGAGCAGGGTGTGGTTGAAGGGTGTATTTCTGAGGAAGAGCTGCTATGGTACAAAAGCCTGTCGAGCAGCGAATAGGGGAGAGCATTGCGGTTATTTGGAGGATGGTTCGATGGTTCTTCTCTTGATGCAGAGCTTTTAGTGACTCTTTGGCAATATTCGGATGTTAATCCCTAGTGCTCTGGGTGAATTTCAGTGTGACCAATTCTGTTTTGTTGATGCAACTTGTCCTGGAGATTTTGAGCGAATCAGCCTTGCTCACTTACCCTGAACTATCGTGAGAGGCTGGTTTTAAAGAGCAGCTGTTTCACTGGTGGCTGCGATAGCTAGAGAGATTCCTTGCAAGCCCTGGCCAAAATAACTTTGTATATGCTGTGGTTTGAGATCTTGGAGTGCAAACTGGAGATTTTACTGCAGGTGACTTTGAGAGCTACGTAAAATTAAATTCGCAAGGTGACCTCTGTGTTCCCCCATGTGGTGGAGTAGTTTTACTTTAAGAAACTCTACCTCAGCTCAGTTTCGGGTGACTCAAGGCAGTGGGTGACTCGCTGTGAGACTGTGCTGGAGCCTGGCCGGTGAGGTGACTGGGATTTCACTCCAGTGTAATCCTATCAGCAGGGATTTGTGTTGCCTGAAATTCACCTCACAAGCTGATCAGCAGTCGGCGTTTGTTTGCTTCTAGTGCCTTTTATCATCAGAACACCTGAAAGCACTCCAGCAGGCACAGCATTTGGGCGAGTTGCCCGGGTTGTTAGGGGATCCACCGTCGCTCTCGGCTGGCCTCACATGGGAGAATGCTGACGCACAAGTTCTGTAGTGAACGTGAGTTTTGAGGACAGTCCTATTCTCAGGACACTCATCCAGAGCCGCATAGCATCATAAAAAAGAAATGTTTTACAGTCAGGCTTGGAGTAGATTGCATTCAATTTAGGTTTAAGTTTCTCTTGTGATACAGAACTGTTACTCTCTGCAGCATTTTGCTGTGTTGCACAAGCGGATTGATTGCAGCTGCTGTGGGCCGAAAGCATCCGAGCCCGACACACACAAGGTGTGCCTGCCTTTCAGAAAAGGTACATTAAATATTTTTTTATGCTCATGTCTGGCTGTGGTGTGGTTATTCCTTTCCTCCTAGCTCAGCAGGACCCCACAGAATCACCGTGGCCCTCCTGCTCCCCAAAAAGGAGGGTAATCTGGGCCCAGAGTGTGGGGTGGCAGAAACCACCTGGTTTTCCCATCGCTGGGTGCTCGCACCAGCAGGCAGAACCTTCCCCTCCCCTCTGCAGTGCGCGGTTACACTTTGGGTATCGCTGTGCCGAGGGGGATCGGCCAAGGGAGTTTGTGCAGCTGGGTCCCACCGCGGCACCCGGGGAGGGCCTGTCCGAGCCCCAGTGGCCGGCGCTGAGCCACGCTTCTGCAAAGGCTTTGTTTGTACCTAGCCAGGCCACGCAGCTCTGCAGAAAATGTTCCAAACTGCTCATTCTGCGGTTCCGGAGGCTGTTGTTGGTTTCAGCAGCCTGGCTGCTGTCTCAGGGCTGTGAAGGATTCACCCCTGATGGGTGAAATGACCTGTGAAACGGTTGGGAGTTAGAGGAAAAACGTGAAGTACGTTGCCGCACACTCAGTCTCGTTGCAGTGAGTTTGTTTCGCGCATCTCCCCTTTCCTGATTTATTTTTTTTTTTTCCTCTATTGATTTTTTTATGCCGCTCTGCTGCAGCCTGCCTCGGCCTGGAGCAAAGGGCGCGTTAAACGCCGTTTTCAGACCGACAGAGGGGGCGGCTCTCGCCGGGGCAGCTCCGAGGGGCACCGGGACGGGGAGGGGCCGGGG